TTCTGAATGTTTAAATATGTAAAAACTGAATACATTTAAAAAAAAGTGATTTAAATCACTAATTTTTATTTAAAAAATCAAGTTGATTAAGATAAAAAAAACCAACTGATTTAAATCAACCCAATCAATTTTTGGGCATGAGGAGGTATTGACATCATCTTCTTTTGCCTTGCTTTCAATTTAAAAAAATACCCTTTTATCCTGAAGAGAATTTGAAATATAAAAATTGTGATTGAAGGAGGTGGGGACACCAGGATTCAGCGGTAAAATTAGCGAGAAAATGGCCGCCAAAGTTTGGTTACTTCAATAGCTTGAGAGACCTTGAAAACTAAAAGATGACATATTTTGTGCCTTTAATCTACGTTCTTCCGTAACATTCACATGGAAATGTGTTGTTCTAGAATTACATAAAAGGTGTTGAGCCAAAAAACAAAAATGTGATAAAAGAATTGACAAACTGACTGGAGAATGCCTGTTTCTTGTGGATTTCCTCACGGTGACCAGCGCCTGATTTCCTCATTGTGACCAGCGCCTGATTTCCTCATTGTGACCAGCGCCTGATCCTGATTTCACCACGGTGACCAGCGCCTGATTTCACCACGGTGCCTCACATTTTACAATCACTGTTTTGTTTTTCTTGCATTTATAAAAGAATCTTAGATTGCAATATATATATATATATAATTTCTATCGCTAGATCGACTTATTGTAGGAACACTGTAGAACTGAAAGGAGTCGGAACTTGTAAGCAATGTGTCATATAAAAAACTAGGATCTAGGACATTGTGCAAACATAACGTGCTTGTTTAATGAAAAGCTACACAAAATATGCTCCAAATTTTGAAAACGTCAATACAATGAAGTAAACGTTAAACGAACTCAACGTGTAGGGGACATGACTACACCAAATGTATCTAGAAAAAGTCAATACAATGAAGTAAACGTTAAACGAACTCAACGTGTAGGGGACATGACTACACCAAATGTATCTAGAAAAAGTCAATACAATGAAGTTTGACCTGAGGTATCTATCGACACTTCGAAGCACACATCCAAACAGAGTTGGATGCATTGGATATATGGAGATTCGAGACGTGGAAACAGTAGAAGCAACTGTCTCTCACACACGACGAAGCACAAACCGAAACGGAAGTAGTCCCCCAG